AAATGATGTACTAATACACGTTCCCTTATTTGATTTCCGAGCCAGAGAATAAGTCCGCGTTTTTGTTTTTTTTTTTTCATCAAAAGTACACTCATCTTATTATCGACGTCTTTGATGTTTCCTCAAAATTTCGACTGTCGAGGTAAATAATGGAACTCACGAAAAAAACTCTAAATCTAAATCAAATCATTTTTATCCCAACCTATAAGATCAGAGTTGCTGCAATATCGAAGACAAGAATGAGAAATGACACGGTGAAATTCCAGTAAAATGGGAAATCATGTTTTTTTTTCTATAAGAAATATAAAATTAGGAATTGCAAAACTTTCACCGCCTGACCCATTCTTTCTGCCCTCTGTTTATCCCAACTCACATTGTATAGCCTTCACATCCCCCGAATCTTCAAGATGAGATCAATCAATCAGGAATTAATGCCCGAGATATCGTGATATCTTTCTACAATTTCTAGAAAATACCATAATGACGATCATTGCACAAAATTACCGGCTGTTCATTTAGTTTAAACTGATGTAATTGAATTAGTTCCTAAATAATATCAATTGTTCTCTGAAATAATGAGGTTTCAAGGRACAAGAACAGCAAACGATCTTGTGCGATGGTATTCCGGTGGTCTAATTGAGCATATTCACTTGATTTAATAGAAAACTCGGCCTATGAAATAAGTCGCTCTTCGACGAAACCTAATTGCATCCTGTTTWCATCAGTGTGCGTAGGTAATACTAAATCTTCAGTCACTCGTTACTCTAGTTCTCTAGAGAAACACATGAAGATTTCTTGTGGGTCCCCGAGGATAGATATGTTTTATAACTTTTTCATATACCGATTTTTAACATGTTTTAAAAATACAACAGAAATAGATATCAAAGTTCTTGATTCTTTCATTTACTCCATTGTGTTTTCTTATTCGATAATTGCTCATTTTGGACCTTAGTTCGTAGTCACCCGTGGCGAGTGCTAAATGTTCGCTTTTAGACCTGTTCAAGTCCAATAAAATACGTTGAATTTCATAGTAGAGATTTTCGTGACTTGAAATATCAAAATGTTACGCGGAGAAGAACATTTTCACATAAAGAAATCGGAAACTATTTCAGCCTATTACGGTAAGACTGGGTTTGGTGTAGTTATATCTTATTTTATCATTTGTTGCTGTGWTCTGGCTGTTCTAGATTTTTYCTGAGTTACTAGTCCACTCATTTTTAGTTAACTCATTTTTTAGCAATTCCATACAAACAGGGGCAAAGAAGAAGGAAGTGAAAATTTTTTGTTACTCGTACCTCTCTCTCTCTTTCACTTTACACCGCAAAGAGCAATAAAT